TTCCCATTGAGTCATCTGGTTGGCCACTGTGAGATGAAATTGCAGGACCAAATGGGCCTTTGGCCTGATCCAGTAGGTTCTTATGGCTTAGTGCAGGAATCACTGAGTGAACATTGGTTGTCCCTGATCCTGACCTCAACACATTCCTCTGAAGGGTTCAACAGGGGCATAGGCAGGTGTGGTTGCAGAGTACAGTGACGGTCCCTTTGCTGGGTCCCCAATTTACTGAGAGGACCAAGAGCAGTGGGTCCCCAGGGGGTACTCAATGGTATGCAGTACCTGCACCTCTATTTTGTTGTTGTTAAAAAGTGTGGCACTTACTGCAACAACTTCATGGTTAGTACTGGCACCTATTTTTCTAGAAAAAAAGCACTGACCGAGAGTCACATATACATTTTGGGTTACTTATATGTGTTGTTTTCCTGATGCATCTTAAGAGTGGGGGAATTGGGTTCTCCAAGTGTTGCTGGACTACATCTCCCACTTATGGCTGACTATTGGCCATGGTGGCTGGGGCTGATGGTCATTAGATGCCAACAACACCTTGAGGACCACAGGTTCCCCATCTCTGATAGATGTACTCCCACCCTAGGATCAACTGGTAAAGCAGGCATAGGGAACCTTTGGCCCTCCAGGTGCTGCTGAACTATAGCTCCCACCATCCCAGACCATTGGTTATGATTGCTGGGGCTGATGGGAGTTGTAGTTCAGTAACATCTGAAGAGCCTAAGGTCTCCCATCTCTGTGGTAAAGGGTGGAGTATAAATCCCATAAATATAAACAAGCACCTGGCCACGTGGAAGGAGATTATAAGGGTTGTAAATATTGGTGATTTTCCCCCTAGGAGTTTATCATTAAAAAGAGGGAAACGCTTAATGGAATTGAGTGGGGAGACTCAGACTCTAGAAGGAGAAGCAGCTGGAAAGGATGTCTTTGGGCAGGAAATGTGCATTGGGTGTCCACTTATGCATCACCACACAGGAGGAAATGCATCACCAGATGAGGAAAAGGACCAGAAAGGGCACAGGGTTTACATAAAAGTTGCACATGCTAACTTTGCTAAGACCCACCTGGTGTAGCCTCGTGACCCACTGATTGAAGACCTACGGGTTAGTGGACCTTCAGATGCTAGAGCAGACATAGGCAAACTCGGCCCTCCAGATGTTTTTGACCTACAACTCCCATGATCCCTAGCTAACAGGACCAGTGGTCAGGGATGATGGGAATTGTAGTCCCAAAACATCTGGAGGGCCGAGTTTGCCTATGCCTGTGTTAGAGGAAAGGAAAGGAGATCCCATAAGCCTGTAGCTTCTTGCATGTGGAATTTCAGGGTTGTCTCCAACTAAGTCCTTCTCAGAGTAGACCCATTGACCTAAGTTAGTCATGCCTGTCAATATCAATGGGTCTATTCTGAGTAGGACTAGGTTTGGCTACAACCCCAAGTCTTGCCTGCCCTAGACTGTGTTATTCACCTCTGGCCCTATTGGATTGAGAGCTAGACTCCCCACCATTTATTTTTATTAACACTATTTATATGCCACCCTCTCATAAAAAATATATCAGGACAATCATTAAAATGGCTGGATACTCAAGAAAATTTTAAACAACTGCAGAGACTTGTTGGCATAACAAAGTCTTCAAGAGATCCCTGAAAGTTAAAGCATGGATCTGGTAACACCAACTGGTTGGGGCTAATAAGGTTTCTGAAGCGAATGGTGCCCATCCAGGTGCTCTCACTGATCAACCTGGAATATAAGGAATCAGGTAGTCCTCAACGTATCCTCGTCTCAAGTTGTTCAGGGCTTTCTTTATGTGTTATAGGGACGTGGGTGACGCTGTGGGTTAAACCACAGAGCCTGGGACTTGCCAATCAGAAGGTCGGCGGTTCGAATCTCCGCAACGGGGTGAGCTCCTGTTGTTCGGTCCCTGCTCCTGCCAACCTAACAGTTTGAAAGCACGTCAAAGTGCAAGTAGATAAATAGGTACCCCTCCGGCGGGAAGGCAAACGGCGTTTCTGTGTGCTGCTCTGGTTCACCAGAAGCGGCTTAGTCATGCTGGCCACATGACCCGGAAGCTGTATGCTGGCTCCCTCAGCCAATAAAGCGAGATGAGCGCTGCAACCCCAGAGTCAGCCATGACTGGACTTAATGGTCAGGGGTCCCTTTACCTTTACCTAGAGGTGTTATACCCTCCCCTCCCTGTGAATTCCACCTTCCTTGCTAGCTGCACTGTCAAGACCAATCTTTGGAGCAGTTATCCAGGGGTCTACTCAACAGAATGAGTGGGCTGGCTTTTTTGGATGGAGTGAAGGAATATACATTACCATGTAAAGAGGAAGTCTCCGTTAGATCATTAAATTCAGAAGTATGACACATTGCCATCCCAAAAGCCCCCCTGGAAGACTGTTACACCCAAAGTCTAAAAATCACCTAACAGGACCACCATCCCTCACTTTAGTTTCTCGGACACGCACTAGCAGAGGAACATGATAAACGACACTACGCTGAATAAATCTTTACAGCGAAGTTAAATGCAATAGAAGGTGATCATAAGACATGGGGCTTGCCCATGTAGTACATCTCATGCAGGATGTATCCAACCGATTCTGATTTTATTTTAGCTTTTTTGAATTAAGAGGAGAGCTAAAGTTGCGTCTTTTGCTCCTGCCATTTACACTCACAGACACACACCCCATGCGCCACTGCCTCCTCTTGTCGGCTTCTTCTAGCCAGTTCTCCCACCACAGGGACCTGAGCAAGCAAACACACCCAGCCAGCATCACACATATACTCGTGCATGCCAAAGAATCACTGTTGCAAGATGACGCAATGATGAACTAAGTGGTGCAATGGAGGGATGTGTGAGTGCATAGGAGATCCTGCATAGGCAGCAATGCCCAACAGCTTACTAGCAGCATTTCTAAAAATAAACAGTATGATTTATTATTCCCCCTCCCTCAATGCCACATTCCCTGGAGGTGGCTGCACATGGCAGTCTTATATTATTCTGCTGCACTCTGCGCAAATGTGGTCCCCCCCCCCCACTGCATCAGACCTGAGGATGGGATAGAAAGGATTCCCAAAGGTGTTGTTTACATTACAGAGGGCTATTTATTTCTTGCATTGATTTATTTCTTGCATTTACAGTATATACATCTGGGTGGCTCACTAATTTTTTTTAAAAATACAATAAATTTAAAACAATAAAACCAGTTACAGTGGTACTTCAGGTTAAGTACTTAATTCGTTCTGGAGGTCTGTACTTAACCTGAAACTGTTCTTAACCTGAAGCACCACTTTAGCTAATGGGGCCTCCTGCTGCTGCCGCGCCGCCGGAGCACGATTTCTGTTCTCATCCTGAAGCAAAGTTCTTAACCTGAAGCACTATTTCTGGGTTAGCAGAGTGTGTAACCTGAAGCGTATGTAACCTGAAGCGTATGTAACCCGAGGTACCACTGTATAAGCAAATATAAAACAAGCATAAGAGAAGTCCCCCTAAAAGCTAGCAGAGACATAGCAGCATAAAGATCCCTTTCAAGCCAGCAAAGGGGAAAAGGAAGCTTTGTGCAAGATTTTAAAATCTCCAGGAGTGGCACCATTATGCCACAGGGCACTTTAGGAACATAGCAAGCAGACCTGCACTGACTATTGCTCCATCCCTCTCAGTATTGTCTACGCTGGCTGACAGTGAGTCCCCAGAATTTCGGACAAGATACATTCCCAGCCATAGGTGTCTGCAGGATCAGACCAAAGTCCCACCAAGTCCATTCTCCTGTCCTCAAAGTGGCCAATCAGATGGCTGCAGGAAGACCACAGGCAGGGCATGAAGGCAACAACCCTCCCTCTCTGTTACTCATAAGAATATCTTGGCTGCTGCATCTAGTCCAGCATTCTCTTCTCACAGTGGCCAACCAGATGCCCATGGGTACAACAGCAATAAATAACAGTGGGTTGCACCCCAAATAAGTTCTAGTCAAAGTATATCCATTGAAATTAATAAACCTAAGTTAAACATGCCCACCACTTTCAATCTGAGTAGAATTAACCTTTGATATAGCCCAGTATTAGTATATACTGGCGTTTGAAACAGTACAAGGCTTTAAAAAGCAGAACTCATCAAGTAGCAGAATACCAGTAACAGAGGACCAGCTCTTCAGGAGTTAGGAGAGCTCCTAGGGAAGGCAGATGTTGTTCTAATAAGGCCAAATTTTTAACCGAGCCTTTATATCTCCAAAAACGGCCTGGTGACTCTCACCAGGAGAGCCCACCTCTCTGATGAGAGTGCAAATAATTTAAACAGCCAGGCACTGTGGCACCATTGAATGACCTTGGATTGCACAAACTGCAAGGAAATCTTGAGAAAAGAGTGATTTGTGAGCTGATGTAGTCGTCTTTCTCTCAAAAAAGGTCTGAGCCGCTGCTCCCAGTTTAGAATCTGGGGGAAGGGAATTTCACCTCCTCTCAGAGAGGTCTATCCAATGAACAATAAAATTTGAGGTGCTGAGAGACTCACCTGGTTAAGTGATCTAATTATTAGAATACTAGCTATCTGGGGTATAGAAGCCCTAGTCATCCTATCACATTGATTTCCTCAAGTTGGAGAAGGGAATGTGCATCATCTGGAGATGGAACATTCTCTGTTGCAGTTGGAATTTACATCCTTCATTAAATCCAGGGTAGTAAACGTGGTACCTCTGGGTGCCATCTTGTGGAAGATTAACGACACAGCAAGAGTAGCACGTAAAGGATTTGTTTGCACAATTGGATGGTTATGCATATCCCACCCTTCAAGGTAAAAACGGCAACAAAAGGTCACATAGAGAAGACTAAAATCAACAACTAAAAATACAACACAACAAACAAGCAGAACAAAAATGGTAGGTAAAGCAACCCCTGGCTTGATGCAGGAAATCCCCAACAGATGAATTCCTAGGCTGTGCGTGAAGAACTCCAGTGATTGGGGAGCCCACCACCCTGTGCTAGGGAACTGGTTCTGGGAAGGGCTATAGCTCAGTGGTAGAGCATCTGCCTTGCATGCAGGAAGTCCCAGATACAATTCCTGGAATCTCCAGGCAGGGCTGGGAATGCCCTCTGCCTGAAAAACCGTGCCACTCAGTGCAGACAATACTGGACCAATGGACCGGCTCAGTACAAGACATCTTCATGTGTTAAGGCGAAGGCCTGTAGCACTGTGGTAGAGCATGTGCTTGGCATGCAGAATGATCCAGGTTCAATCCCTAGCAGGGCTGGGAATGTCCCCCTTCTGAAAAACTCTGGAAAGCCGTTGCCAGTCCATGTAGACAAAACAATGCTAGATAGAGCAATTGTCTGACTTTGTCAAGCAACCTCCTATGTGATTCAGATTTTTTTCTAGTTATAAGACACATAACACACCTGGATATGCGGCAGCACATTTGGGGAGGGGATGGTGCTTCTCCAGTGCTTTTGGAAAGCGCTCGCATCTCGATCCTTCTTAAAAGCCCTAATGAGCGCCCACATCTCCAACTAGCCGAACCAGGAGCGAGGCGTGGAACCTAGAGCAGCAGAAAATCTATGTACAAGAGAGAGCAAGAGAGAGCTATTTTTAGCCAGCCAGCGAGTAGGGGGCGTGCGTCTCTGTGTGTACACGCATCACCCATTTCTCCGCACACAACACAATTTTATTCAGACACCTCTCTTGGCAGGCGTAAGTACAGCTGGGGGATGCTTGGGGTTTGGAGGAGCGTTTGCTAGCAGCAGGCAGCTAGAGAGCTGAGCCGGAGGCTGGGTCTCCAAAGCAATTAAAATAAACTGCAGGAGCCAAATAACACCAGCTCACAAGAGCAAATGTAATGCAACAAACCAGACCAAGAGTGGGCAAGCGCTCTCTCTCTCTCTCTCTCACACACACACACACAAAGACATACTCCAGTTCTTAGCAGTTTCTATTTCTAACATCATACTGAAAAGCAATAAAGGCATTCCTCCTTGGTTTAAGAACATTGCCCCACCCCCACCCCCCAAAAAAAACTTGGGAAAGAAAGGAGATGTATGCACCTCAAGGGTCATTTGAATTTTCCAAAGATAGTCCCATTTCTCAGGACTGGTGCTGCCTCTTCAAGGACTTTAAATGAAGGTCAGGCAAATTCATATAGGAGAAGGCTATCATTGGCTACTAGCCAATTGGCTAGGTTTTCTCCCTCCATGGTCGGAGGCAATATGCCTCTGAATACTAGGTCACAATACTAGGTCACTGGCAGTCACAGACGGGGTGATCTGCTTTTGTGCTCAGGTTGCGCTTATGGACTTAACATTGGGACATCTGATCGGCCGCTGGGAGAGCCGGTTGTTGGACACAATGGGCCTTTGGCCTGATGCAGCAGACAGCCTCTTTTTGTGTTCTTACAAACTGTTTGCACTTGCCTCTACCCGGCCCTCACATTTCTGGGGGGGGGGGGGAGATATGAGCAGTGTTGGGTAAGTGGAAAGGAAATATCTCTTGCATGCTTTCTGAGCATCTGTCGGGATCTGCTGAGGCTAAAAGTAGGACCCATCCTCACTTATACTAGCCTGTCCTGTGTGCAGTACAGCATAAGTGCAGGCTGGCACACCTCCCTAGGCAGTGAACCAGGGAACCTGTGGCCCTTCAGATGATGTTGGCCTACAATGAGGTTTTAGGCTTGTTTCAGCAACTAAGCTCTTCTTGCATTCTTATGTGACTCTGTCTCAGCCAAATCACCAATCCTATTTTCCCTCTTAGGGAGGTATTGGGCATTATCTTTCCAAAAATAATGAACTGAGAGTAGCACTCAGCTTTCAACCTTCTCCTGCGGGTCTCTGAGTGATCCATTTTAATGGGGAGGGACCAAGGTCTCTCTTGCATAGGCTTCTAAATGCACACACGGAAATGATAATGCACGACTTGGGAGCAGCATCAGCTCATTGGCACAGCCTGGGCTTTGCATACAGAATCTTCCAGTTTCAATCCCTGGCATCCTCAGTTAGAACAGGGTGGGGAGGGAGCCTGTTTCATCCCATGGGCCACTGGCCCTTCTTAACAACCTGCCAAGGGCCACATGCCAGCAGTCGGTGAAGCGAGGAGCAGAAGTGGGTGGGACAATTGACTGCAATTTAAAAACACCACCCACCATTATTTATTTATATCCTGCCCTTCTTCCCCAAAGGAGCCCAGGGTGGCAAACGCAGCAATGACTAGAACAATTTAAAAATATCTAAAAAAGATGCAGGCTGGGAAAGATCTCTGCTTAAAAGGCTGGTTGGAAGAGAAAGAGATTCAGCTGAGAAGGCCATAGAGAGGGTTTCTGTCTAATATTCAATGCTGATTAAGACCTTTCCAATCCCTGGGCACTGAAAGTATTATAAGCCCCCACCAGAGCCAACTCCGGGGGGGGGTCACAGGTGCTTTGGCACCCACAATAATATATTTGTGAGGGCTGGGGGTCCCCAAATCCAATGGGCAAAGTTGAAGCCCTTTGTAGCGGGCACCCACAATCTTCAGCGTGGGATGGCACCTATGAAAGCCCCCCAATATATAATTCAAAATAAAAGCAGTACTAAACCAAAACTTACATGTGTGCTGAAATGTGCATGCATGTGTGTCATGTGCAACACATGACAGGATCCAATTTCCTTGCATTACTTCAATTTACATTAGTGAGGGGGACACACAGACAGTTTCAATGGGGATAAGGAATAAAGAAATAACAAAAAAATGGGGAGAGAGAGTTTGGAGTGAAGTGTAAGAAGTCTAACCAAGTTCTAATTTTCCCCATGATGACTACTTTGGTGCTTTTTAAAAAAAAAAATATCAAATTCTTCCAAAGATTTCTCAATATTTTTCATTTTGGTGTCCCAAGTGCATGCACAGCATGCCTGCTGAGAAGAGAGATAGGAAAAAACTGAAGAAAAGTCTGGCTGACGGATCAGGCCAAAAGCCCATCTAATCTAGTCCAGTATCCTGCTCTCAGCAGCCAACTAGATTTCGATAGGAAAACCCACAAGGAGGACCTGAGTTCAACATCAACTGTTCCCTCACCTGTGATTCCCAGCAGCTGGCATTCAGAGGCTTACTGCAACCAACAATGGAGGGAGAGAAACATAGCCATCGCAACTAGGAGGTGAGAAGGGTAATACAGTGGAGGATGTTAGCAAAAGGCAAGACTGACTGGTCAGAACACAGCAAAGCTCTGTTGCAGGAACTACCAGCTGTGAACTCAAGTGCCTGGTTATGATTGCATATATAGTCCAAAGATGGTAAATAAAGTGCATGGCTTTGGAAACCCCAACTTTTGCAGAAGCAGGGAAAATATATTGGGGGAGGATGTGAAAAGAGCGGGGGTTGGGGGCAGCCCAATGAGGACTGAGCATGCTCAGGAACAACAGGATGCTGAGCATGTGTTGGCAATTTGGAGGGGGAGGGGGAGGAAACAGAAAATCAGGAAGGGGCTCAAAATGGAAGCTCCTGAAAGGAGGTGGAATTGAGCAGAAGACCAAAACAGGACCAATCCACACTGCAGCATTTTGTTGCAGTTAGGGATGGGCAAATCCTTCCATTTCAGTTTCTCATTTTTCCGCTCTCAAGTTCACTTCTCCACATTTCCACGTTAGTTTGCAATTAAACGACAATGAAAGCCCTCATGAAAATTCGTCAGCATTTTCATGCAAAGGTCCCCATTGTATGCCATTTCCTTTAATATATATGCAATTTTGCAACACAATCACCCTTAATACAGTGTAGTTGTTGTCTTGTATCTTATTTTCACCAATGCATGCATTTTTCTACACACTTTACCCTGCTGTAAGCATTTTCACACATATTATGTGGTTGGAGAACAGCACTGCAAAATTCAGAGAAGCCTGGATTTCGAAGGATTGCTGCATTTCGATTTTCAGATTGTTCCAGAAAATGTGAATTGAGTAGACTTGCCTTTAAATGCATGCTGAATCAAATCTCTCCCCCCCCCCCCGCACCCGCATCCCTCTCTGGCTAATGGGTAGGTGCAGCTCTAGCAGAAAGGGGGGGGGGAGCAACCTATTTGCTTTTGCATCACTGCAAGGCAGGCTACTGATGAATCAAAGAGTACAGTTGAAAAGCTTTCACACCATTACTCCATGCTCTCTGGCCGGGTTGTGACTGCAGTGTCTCAGAAGAAATGGACTATGTGTGTGCGAGGCCAGGAAAGTAGGAGGCTGGCTCAGATTGGGCTCATCCCTGTTTTTCTTCAATTCCTTTAAAAACTAAAACAGTAGATCATTCCTTGGTCCTAGATCACTGGAGTACCTGCTTCCAGCACATTCTGAAAGAGACAGCTGTATACAAACAACATTATATTCTACATTCAATGTACACTGAGATCTTGCTTATTTCTATGTAGTCCACACAGTCTGGACCTGACATATAATTTATGCCCCTGAAAAGCAGGCTAAAGTGTGCTTGAAAATATCTTAGTGAAAATATTATATGTGAGCTTCCAGACTGTCGCTGCTTCAGAGGTCAGATTTAATGACATAACAGCATCAGGGAGCACAATCAAAGATGATTTTGGAGCTGTTGCGCAACAATCTCACTACCTGCCACTCTGCAAATTGAATTCTTTGGGATAATAACAGCAATGGGGAAATGCTTGGAAAAGGGGGAGCAACATTTGATTCCCACAATGTAATTTCACCTCCCCATAAATCAGAGGGCCCCCTCCAAATGGGTGCTTTTAAACAGGTGTATTCTGCAAGGTGCAGTTGACACAATAATAGTGCATTAATGGTGGAATTATGCTGGACCATCCACACACCGTTCAGCATTATTCTGTGATGCTACCCCAATGTTACGGCACCATCGCTGTCTGGAGGGCAACTCAGAGCAACAAAAGCAGGATAAACAACCCAACCAACGGAACATTTATGGTATTTAAAAATACAGGGCTTCAGCAGGAAATATTGGGATGTGCACCAATTGGAAAACAAGCACCCTCGAATTTTTGCAAAAACTACAGAAAGCCATATCACATATAACCACCCCAACACCACCATGAGCACAAATAGTCATGAATGCACAATTGAAAAGGATGTCTGGCATGCTCTAGATTAGAATGAATGCTCAATTAATAGCCAACATCATCCAACCTCATCTCAAACTTTGTTCTAACGAATCGTGACAAATGCTCAATAAACAGATTGTCTAGAAGTGACTCGTCTCACTCCATAGCCAGCAGCATTTAGAGCTGTGGAGAGTGAAGATTCATTTAAAGTACAG